GGTTCCAAACTGGTGCCTCATACTCCAATATGGGCCTAACGTACACGGTGTACAGGGTCCTGAACGATTCTTTATTAAGATGTCGGAATGCTGTTCTGAGGTTTGCATGCATGTGTATGTGTGTGTGTTAGTGTGTGTGTGTGTGTGTGTGTGTGTGTGTGTGTGTGTGTGTGTGTGTGTGTGTGTGTGTGTGTGTGTGTGTGTGTACTCACCTAATTGTACTCACCTAATTGTGGTTGCAGGGGTCGAGACTCAGCTTCTGGCCCCGCCTCTTCACTGATCTCTACTATGTCCTCTCCCTCTCTGCTTCCTGAGCTTTGTCATACCTCTTCTTAAAACTATGTATGGTTCCTGCCTCCATTACTTCACTTGCTAGGCTATTCCACTTCCTGACGACTCTATGACTGCAGAAATACTTCCTAACGTCCCTGTGACTCGTCTGAGTCTTCAGCTTCCAGTTGTGACCCCTTGTTTCTGTGTCCCCTCTCTGGAACATCCTATCTCTGTCCACCTTGTCTATTCCCCGCAGTATCTTGTATGTCGTTATCATGTCTCCCCTGGCCCTTCTGTCCTCCAGTGTCGTCAGGCCGATTTCCCTCAACCTTTCCTCGTACGACATTCCCCCGAGCTCTGGGACTAGCCTTGTTGCAAACCTTTGTACTCTAACTTCTTGACGTGCTTGACCAGGTGTGGGTTCCAGACTGGTGCTGCATACTCCAGTATGGGCCTAACATACACAGTGTACAGTGTCTTGAACGATTCCTTATTAAGGTATCGGAACGCTATTCTCAGGTTTGCCAGGTGCCAGTATGCTGCAGCAGTTATTTGGTTGATGTGTGCCTCCGGTGACGTGCTCGGTGTTATGGTTACCCCAAGGTCTTTCTCCCTGAGTGAGGTCTGTAGTCTTTGTCCACCTAGCCTATACTCTGTCTGCGGTCTTCTTTGCCCCTCCCCAATCTTCATGACTTTGCATTTGGCAGGGTTGAATTCGAGAAGCCAGTTTCTGGACCACATGTCAAGCCTGTCCAGGTCTCTTTGCAGTCCTGCCTCATCCTCATCCGATTTAATTCTTCTCATCAACTTCACATCATCTGCGAATAGGGACACTTCAGAGTCTATTCCTTCCATCATCATATGTGTGTGTGTGTGTGTTGTGTGTGTGTGTGTGTGTGGTGGTGTGTGTGTGTGTGTGTGTGTGGTGTGTGTGTGTGTGTGTGTAATATATATATATATATATATATATATATATATATATATATATATATATATATATATATATATATATTATATGTCGTGCCGAATAGGCAAAACTTGCGATCTTGGCTTAAATAGCAACGCTCATTTTGCCATATAGGACAAGTGAAAATTTGTGTATGCAATAATTTCGCCAAAATCATTCTGAACCTAACGAAAAAAATACATTTCACTGTGTTTGTTTAGTATTAAATTATTGTAAACAAATCTAAAATATATTTAGTTAGGTTAGGCTAAAATAAATTGTTCTTGTTATAATAAGGTTAGGTAAGTTTTCTAAGATTCTTTTGGTGCAAAATTAAATTTTTACATTAACATTAATGAAAAAAATATATCTTTAAATGTATAAGAGAAAATTTTAGAAAGGACTTAATTTTAAATGAGTTCTTGCTAATTGACCAGTTTTACATATTCGGCACGACATATATAATATATATATATATATATATATATATATATATATATATATATATATATATATATATATATATATATATATATATATATATATATGGCGTAACCAGAAGCATTATATGATCGTATATGGTTGACGGATATCTTTGAGTCCTGTACAGGCCATCAGAGGAATTCTGTATAATATAAGCCAAACTGTTGTGTTTAGAAGGAAGCCTCTGCAAGGTCAGCGTGTCATGGCAGGGAATAATGCCTTCCTTGCCACAGTTATTCCTCTACTGGACTGTGCTCATCTACATTCACTTTCAACACAAGTTAACTCTTCACTGTTATATCTTTATGAATTTTATATGTAAAACTACTATGCAAAGATAACGAAACTGTAAAAAGAAGCGTACGCGCATATATACCTACGATGAAACTTTATTTTTCAAAGAAACAAGAAAGAGCCGAGCGCGCGCTCTTCTATCTAAAATTCCAGTCCCGAAAATTGGAAATCCCTCCACCAACTGCTCAATTATTCTATCCACAAAATCTGAATGTGAGGGAAGGTAATTCCTGACGCCAGTGCGAGCACAGGGCGGCAGGCAGGCAGGCAGGCAGGGAGGGCCGCCGGGCGGACTAGGCTGTAAGGGAATTTTGGGTTAGTTGAGTCTTACACCTGGTGGTTGTGGGGAGCTCTAGCTCTACTTTACTCTGGCTTCCTGGGAAATATTGTCATTTAACTTCACATCTTGTTCAACTATACTTTGAATTAATTACATAGGGAAACTTAAGTGATTGTGACAAATTACAATGATTTTTGGGAATGATTTAGAAACTGATACATTACAGGAGCAAGCAGGGAATAGGTCTTTAAGTATAATTTCTTTTACACTATTTTACACTTTCAAAATATTCAAACATACACAGCCGAATAATACCATTAATGACACACAAACCACCTCCCACTAATCATACGTGTCACGTTCACTGACGATATAAAAATAACGAGGGTCATTCAGACAAAGACTCACACAGACACTCGAGAAAAGCTTAACCAGCTACAGGAATGTGTATAATAGCGCCAACTTGAATCTGAGTAAATCTAATTAAAAATGGATGAAGGTTCATCGAGAGTCACAGAGTTCATCAATGATCAACGTCAGTGTCAACAGTACTTAAACCAGTTATCTTGAAGTATATAATAATAACGTCAGCGGCGTAACCCAAATAACAAGTGTTAGAATGACATTTAATAATCTAAATCAAGAAGCTTCGGAACAATAATTATGTCTTACCAATCTCAGAATACACACCGTGGAACCCTAATTAAATCCAGTACAGTTTAAAGCAGGTAAAGGCTAGTTCCGTAAATAACAAAATTACAAATTAATAAACCAGACAGCTTACTTTAATTAAGACACCAGATTAACGGATCAAGACACCAGATTAACGGATCAAGACAGGGCATGATGACAACATAGGATACTCGGTGTAAACACGGTAAACACACTGTTAACCTTGAGTACAACCACAGCCAGGGAGGACATGAAAGGTAAACAAAAAGACTACTCGTAAATACGTCAAAGTACTTTTAAAGTGTCATAGCAGCAGAGAAGTGGAAAAACAACAACAACAGTGCATCACAGGAGCAGAAAAACACAACTTCTAAACGGGAGTGAATTTCAGATTTATTCCGCTTAACTGGCAAATCTGAAAGTTGAAGCTCAGAACCCAAAACCTCAACTTGTTAATTACCTACTAATTATCTTCCAGCCTGTAGACTCCTAAATTTATCTGCAGGGCATTTACTTGGATGACTATACTAATAAGGAGTATTATTCATTAAACATTATGTTGGTAATGTTTTCCCAACATGTTCAGGTAACCGTATGAAAGCCCGTGTGTTCATCGCGGAAAATAAAATTATTCTCTCGTCCTTATTAGAAATTAACTAATTTAATTAGCGAATAACATTTAAATATAGTCAAAGTGTCCTTGAAAATCCGTAATACCCAAAGTTACCCAAAGTTTTCGCTCTAATGACGCTACCTGTTCCATTCATCTACAATTCTATTGCCAAACCATTACTTGTCTACATGCTTTCTAAATTTAAATTCGTCCTACTTGAATCCACTGCTGCAAGTCCTGTCTTGGTTAGAAACTTTCAGAACGTTATTTATATACCCCTTTATAATCTTGTTTCACATTTGTACACTCCAGTCAAATCCTTCCTTTCCCCTAATTCTGAGTCTTTCCAGAGAGTGCAAACTAAGCATCTAAAGCGTATCTTCGTAGGAAAGCTTTATGCTACTTGGAATCAACTTCGTCATCCTTCTCTGCATACGTATTAATATTCCAGTGCATTTATATCCAACTGGTAATATGGAACCAGAAGCGAGTAGCTTAATTTAAAAGAGGCTTTACCAAAGATAATGTTGAAGTTTAAGAAATGCAGTATTTGCTCTATCTACCTGTACCAGGAATAATAATAAGCCACACTGAGGTGATAAACACCGAGACTATGAGTGAGGAAGATGATATTTGCGCAGTGTTAGGATACTTTATTGAGGAAAAATTTCGCCACGAATTGACTTCTTCAGTCCTTCAGACTTATTTCGCAAATATCGGAATTTCATACCAGCTTTCGCCCAATTAGTGAGGAAGTACTGAAACTTGTTGAGGAACTCAGCAAAACATTGCCCTGGACGCTCACTGAAGGATCTGAACTATTAAAATTAGAGATATCTGGAACTACCAGAAACATTCTGAAGAGGATATAAAGGGAAGACTAAAAGAAACTCCATGACTTGTACAGACTGCAGGACTGGCCAGACAATGGCGACCCGAGTTTAACTCCAGAAAGCGCAGACTAATAAAACAAAACGCATTTAAGTAAAATTTTTACAATGTACGAAGAATATAAATGGAATGAGTTAGGTCGGGGTGTAATGGAGTCCATATATGATACGTCCGAAGTTAAACACGGTGGAAAAAATCCATCCTCTGACCGAATGCTAAGACGAATCCAAGAGCTGGAGATTAATACCTACAAACCTCCAATATACCTTTTACATCAATGAAAACTCACATTTCCTCACGCTCATACACACGCACCAGTCTCTAATAAGGAACCTACACATACACACACACACACACACACACACACACACACACACACTCACAAAGATTTTCACAGGCAAATTCCAAACCCCCACACACAAACATACACAAACCCACCTACACACGGAGACCCTTCTCACCCACGCTCCTACGTACACACTCATCCACTTACACATGCATACCCAGCCACATGAAGGCCCGTAACCCCAAATCTGAGCAAGACTCACATTCACGCCAGGGTCCCTGATGGTGATCTTGACCACCTGGTCTGAGCGTGGGTTGGGAATATCTCTGGGTTTGAGAGTGATGCGGTAACCCAGGAACTCTCCGTGGATGGAGGAGTGGTTGGGAGCCTTCCAGTGTAGCTGTAGGCTGGTGGAAGAGGCATTGTGTGCCGCTGTGAAGATTGGCTTCCCCTCAGGCACTGCAAACACAAAGAGAAGAAAAATTAGAGCAGCTGAAATATTTCACTGTCATATTTGTACAACACTTTCATAGAAACTGGAAATATTGTGTCATAAAAAAAATAATGAAATTCATCATTTCGTATGATTTTCACTGAAATAAAATGTTCCATTAAAGAAACATGAGTATTTAAGTATGAAAGATTGCTTTTGACGCAAGTTTACTTGTTTCTCTATATGACGCCTGAAATAACTGCCAGTTTTCCAGCTGAAGTCTTGATGACCCACAGAGTCACTTGATCAAAGCCTACATCAGGTGTTGGGATTTCTCCGCTGTGCTAGTCAACACACCTAAAATATAGAATGTTAACTAGGAACAATGAGTCCTAACCATAATTTTTTAAGGGATTGGACGGGTAAGCTAGCTGAAGGCCTCGGCCAGATGACCAAAAGCTCCAGCTGCGGGTCATCATATGACTAACACCCGCGTCAGGAAACGCTTGTCCTATTTTTTGATAAACCTTACCTAACCTAACCTAACCACACTTAACGACCTTCACACGGAGACAAATGTTACCTTGCCGAAGACAGTGAATTAAGAGCACATGCTGCGGAAGAAGCCTTTTCTAGGACAAAATTCCCCTCCTGTGTAGAGTTTTGATGAAACTCTACACAGAGAAAAACGCTGCCCAACAAAAGCGAGTTCTGCAACGTGTGTGTTTTGGTCCTCGGGCCACGTCTCTCACCTCAAAAATGTCTTCTTACGTCTCCTGAATCTTTCATGGAACGATGAATGACCTTTTGCTTCCAACGCTCCGATTTTTTAAAAACATTTCTTTCTTTGCTTCCTTTCTAAATCTCTCTCTCTCTCTCTCTCTCTCTTGATGCAGTCTAGTCTTCCTTTCTTCCTTCCTTTCTAAAACTTTCTTGAAGCAGTCTGTCCAACTTGTTTTAGGCAACGTCAGTCACCTTTGTGTTGAGATGTCTGTGAACTTAATAAATCACTCACACCTGCTTTGTGAACTTACTTTCTCTTCTTCCACTTGTAACTTACTTTCTCTTCTTCCACTTGTAACTTACCTTATCTTCTTCCATTTTTAACTTTCTCTTCTTTCATTTGTAACTTTAAATTCTTCGACTTGTAACTTTCTCTTCTTCGACTTGTAACTTTCTCTTCTTCCACTTGTAACTTTCTCTTCTTCCACTTGTAACTTTCTCTTCTTTCACTTGTAACTTTCTCTTCTTCCAATTGAAACTTGGGCTTTCCGTGTTACATGTAAAGCCTTATCTTTCATTCGTTCCTTATACTTTCCTGTAACTTTGTGAAAGTACTCTGGTGTAACCTGCTGCGAGTACTCTGCTCGTCGTAATCTGGTGCATGTACTCTGCCTGCTGTAACCTGGTGCATGTACTCTGCCAGTTGTAACTTGGTGCATGTACCCTGCTAGTTGTAACCTGGTGCATGTACTCAGCCTGCTGTAACCTGGTGCATGTACTCTGCCAGCCGTAACCTGGTGCATGTACTCTGCCTGCTGTAACCTGGTGCATGCACTCTGCCAGCTGTAGCCTGGTGCATATACCCTGCCAGCTGTAACCTGATACACGTACTCTGCCTGCTGTAACCTGGTGCATGCACTCTGCCTGCTGTAACCTGGTGCATGCACTCTGCCTGCTGTAATCTGGTGCATGTATTCTGCCTGCTGTAACCTGGTGCATGCACTCTGCCTGTTGTAACCTGGTGCATGTACTCTGCCTGCTGTAACCTGGTGCATGCACTCTGCCTGCTGTAACCTGATGCACGCACTCTGCCTGCTGTAACCTGGTGCATGCACTCTGCCTGCTGTAATCTGGTGCATGTATTCTGCCTGCTGTAACCTGGTGCATGCACTCTGCCTGTTGTAACCTGGTGCATGTACTCTGCCTGCTGTAACCTGGTGCATGCACTCTGCCTGCTGTAACCTGATGCACGCACTCTGCCTGCTGTAACCTGGTGCATGCACTCTGCCTGCTGTAACCTGGTGCATGCACTCTGCTTGCTGTAACCTGGTGCATGCACTCTGCCTGCTGTAACCTGGTGCATGCACTATGCCTGCTGTAACCTGGTGCATGTACTCTGCCTGCTGTAACCTGGTGCATGCACTCTGCCTGCTGTAACCTGGTGCACGCACTGGCTGCTGTAACCTGGTGCATGCACTCTGCCTGCTGTAACCTGGTGCATGCAATCTGCCTGCTGTAACCTGGTGCATGCAATCTGCCTGCTGTAACCTGGTGCATGCACTATGCCTGCTGTAACCTGGCGCATGCACTCTGCCTGCTGTAACCTGGTGCATGCACTATGCCTGCTGTAACCTGGTGCATGTACTCTGCCTGCTGTAACCTGGTGCATGCACTCTGCGTGCACCAGGTTACAGCAGGCAGAGTGCATGCACCAGGTTACAGCAGGCAGAGTGCATGCACCAGGTTACAGCAGAGTGCATGCCCCAGGTTACAGCAGAGTGCATGCACCAGGTTACAGCAGAGTGCATGCACCAGGTTACAGCTGTAACCTGGTGCATGCACTCTGCCTGCTGTAACCTGGTGCATGCACTATGCCTGCTGTAACCTGGTGCACGCACTCTGCCTGCTGTAACCTGGTGCATGCACTCTGCTGTAACCTGGTGCATGCACTCTGTCTGCTGTAACCTGGTTCATGCACTCTGCCTGCTGTAACCTGGTGCATGCACTCTGCCTGCTGTAACCTGGTGCATGCACTCTGCTGTAACCTGGTGCATGCATTCTGCCAGCTGTAACCTGGTGCATGTACTCTGCCAGCTGTAATCTGGTGCATGCACTATGCGTGCTGTAACCTGGTGCATGCACTCTGCCTGCTGTAACCCGGTGCAGGCACTCTGCCAGCTGTAACCTGGTGCATACACTCTGCCTGCTGTAACCTGGTGCATGCACTCTGCCTGCTGTAACCTGGTGCATGCACTCTGCTGTAACCTGGTGCATGCACTCTGCCTGCTGTAACCTGGTGCATGTACTCTGCCTGCTGTAACCTGGTGCATGCACTATGCCTGCTGTAACCTGGTGCATGCACTCTGCTGTAGCCTAGTGCATGCACTCTGCTTGCTGTAACCTGGTGCATGCATTCTGCCTGCTGTAACCTGGTGTATGCACTCTGCCTGCTGTAACCTGGTGCATGCACTCTGCCTGCTGTAACCTGGTGCATGCACTCTGCCTGCTATAACCTGGTGCATGCACTCTGCCTGCTGTAACGTGGTGCATGCACTCTGCCAGCTGTAACCTGGTGCATGCACTCTGCCTGCTGTAACCTGGTGCATGCACTCTGCCAGCTGTAACCTGGTGCATGCACTCTGCCTGCTGTAACCTGGTGCATGCACTCTGTCTCTTGTAACCTGGTGCATGCACTCTGCCTGCTATAACCTGGTGCATGCACTCTGCCTGCTGCTGTAAACTGTTATCAACTTTCTCCCTTTTCGCAGACGCATAATAAATAAAAAAGCGTTACGTATTATTTTCGTACTATAGTGGCTCTTTTCGTATATTGGCACTTTTATTATAGTCGTTGTTTTAACATTGTGGCACTTTTCACATAGCGGCACTTTGCATAATGACATTTTTAATAGCACTCTTCATGCGCCAAAGAGTTCCCGTAATATGAAGGCTGCCATCAGTTCCAGCCCTGAATGGCAGCCTTGACAGTATGAGGAGGGATGATGCTCATGACGATGTGGTTTGGGCTTTATACGGCGTACACTGTCAGTGGCCCTATAAACCCCAACAACAACTAGATGTGGTTCGCCGGTAGTGACCCGGTGGCCGATGATGCTTTCACTGGGTATGTGTGTGTGTGTGAGGCCACTATTCATAGGCATCCATTCCCTTTTCACATTACAGTTCACTACAGGAGAGCCAACGCACCAGAGTCTTAAGCTCAGGATGCGCTACACTGTGGTCGGAATGCCTCACGTGATTACACAGTCTTTAAGCTGAACGCTAAGGGTCAGTACTGCTACTGAATTAATATGTATATGTTTGTGTAGCATATCGTAGGCTCAGTGGTTAGCATGTGACGTCACATAGTGCCGCATGTGAGCGTCGGTCACCCTGCCTCTTCCTCAGTTCCAGTATAGGCACAGGCGAGACAGGTGGGCTGGGCTATACTTCCCTCACGACTCTGCCAATATAAGCGATATCTACCAACCAAGTGTGTTTATGTTCAACCATCATATCTCCAAGGAACCCTCGCAACATAAGTTGCAGAAGCTGCATGACAATTAATTTCAGCTTGTATTGAGAGACTTGTCCGCTACACTGAGTGACAGATAATGTCAACAGTCAGACTGGGGAAGCCACTCGTGGCGAAACGTTTCCCGTAATAAATGTCCTGAACTATACTTAAGTATCCTTATTTCGACGAGTGCCAACAGTGTCTTGTGTTGGGTCAATTTTTTTTCTCTTAGCAATGATGTTCTGACATAAAATATCCACACTGCTTTCCATACATTTCATAAAGTACTTACTGGTGTAGTTACACGATTCCGTATGGTATTTGTGGAAATACTTACGTGATTTCGTTCGGTATTTACAGACTTATTTATGTGATTCCGTACTGCATTCATCGGTGTATTTACCGAACGAAAATAATTCATTGATTCTGAACTCTGCACAACTCATTTCAAAGTTAGAGCTTACCTGCAGGTGTGTTTTATTTTCATTAGCAATTATGAAATAAGTAAACTCTCTTAAGGTATTGTAAAACAAACAGACAATCTGATATTTTCAGAATGAGGCCACTGAATGCTTTACTACTGACTAGCTTTGGTCAACATTTCCCAATAGCTTTAAACAGCTCTGTTTACGACGCTGTAATTGAGATGCTCCAAGGTCAAATATTCTTGTATCGTGCTATCATTGTGGGCTGCAAAAGTTCAGTGTTATATGTGAACTGGAGAACCAACCAGGCTGTGATGAACAAGACGCCACAATACCGTGACTGGAACAATACACAAATAAC